TGACAGCGTTCGGCGACGAGGCCGAGTGGGGTGTGTGTGGTGTGAGTGGCGTGACAGCCCATCCCACCAGCAGACAAAGGAGTCCGTACCGGTGACACCAACCCACTGCCTCCCCCTCCTCCTCCCACCGACACTGCCGGCCTCCTCCTGGCCCTCCTGCCACCCCTCCCGCCATCCCCGCTCCTCCCCCTGTCCCTGGCCCTGCCCCACCACCCAACGCACCAGCCGCTCCCCCGGTCCCACTCTCCCCACCACCACCACCCACCCCGCCCGCACCCCCAACCCCAACACTCCCACCACCCCCAACCCCCGCACCAGCTCCACCCCCCAGCGTCCCTCCACCCGGCCCACTCCCAGTGGGCGAGGCCGGGAGGGTGTTGGTGCTGCGGGTCTCGAGGGCGCCGAGGTGCCAGTAGCCGGCGCGCATGTCGCCGTTGCGGAAGGTGTACATGCCCAGGCCCTGCTTGCGCCCCTCGTGCCACGCGCCCTCGTACCGGTGCCCGTTGCTGAACTCATAACCCCGTACCCGTGCATGCGGTCGGCAAAGTACTCCCCTGCGTACGTGTCGCCGTTCCTGATGGGTGGAAGGGGGGGTGGTTTGGGGAATGAGGTGAGAGACCATAGTGGCATGCCTGCCTGACCTCGTACCGATGCCCATTGCTGAACTCGTACACGCCGTACCCATGGATGCGGTCAGCGAAGTACTCTCCTGAGTATGTGTCGCCGTTCGTGGTTGGGAGGGGTGGGTGAATGGGAGAAGAGAGGATGGTTTCGGACCGGTGCCCGTTGGGAGGGTTGCTAAACTCGTACACGCCGTACCCATGCATGCAGTCTGCAGAGTATTCTTCCCCGCCTAGGTGTTGCCGTTCCTGGTGGTGAGGGGAAGGTTGGTTGGTGAAGAGGGAGAAGAGGGGAGTGTCTTTTGCCCTCGTACTGGTGCTTGTTGCTCAAGCAACACACGCCACAGCCGTATGAGGCAAAGAGCGTACGAACAGCCGTGCAGCTGCATGCAAGGTGCCGCTGCTCGCAAAGTGAAGGTGGCCATAGCTGCCGACTAAAAGTGGCCATAGCTGAAATCCAAAAGTGGCCACAGCTGCAACAGCAGCAAATCTACAAGTCTATTCACAAGGCATCTGCACATCTCAAACTATTCTCTCACCTGAAGGTGTACTTGCCGAATCCATGCTTGGCGCCCCATGCAAACTCGCCCACATACTTGCTGCCATCGCCGCACGTCTGCACTCCCACCCCATGGCTCTGCCCTTTCGCCCACATCCCCGCAAACACATCCCCGGTATAAAACCTATACACCCCATACCCCTCCCTCAGCCCCTTCCTGTACTGCCCGCGATACCGACTCCCCCGCGACCAAGTCTCAATCCCATACCCATCGTATTTTCCGTCCACCCAGTCGCCTTCATACCGCCCGCTGCCCGAAAAAATGTACACTCCGCTGCCCGAGCATCTGCCCTGGTAAAATTCTCCTTCGTACCGGTCCCCGTTGGCATACACGTGGATCCCGCACCCAGATGCCGCTCGGGAGGCGCTACGAGACGAAAGACCCGCCGCACCGGCAGGTCCGGCAGCTGCTGTGGAAGACCCCTCTCCTCCCCCGCTATCCGAACCACCCTCCCGGTCCCTCTCCCTATCTCTCTCCCTCTCACCGGCAGCACCAGTGCCACCACCACCATCATCACCACCACCACCACCATTACCATTATTACTGATCCCTCTCCCTCCCCCCCTGCCACTACGATTGTACCCTAGATATTCCCAGCTTCCGCCCCCACTAGACGCAAACTTCTTATCCAGAGCAGAGTAGTTCCCTGTTCCTCCTGTCCCTCTTAGCCTGAACGGCCGAGGGCCAGACGCATACCCCATTCCTGCTCCGGCTGCTGCCGCCGCCGCCGCTGCTGCCCCTCCCCCTCCCCCTCCCCCACCCAGCCCCCCAAACGGCAAGTAATGCGCCCAGGAAGGGAGGATACTCCCCCCTCCGCCTCCGCCTCCCCCTCCCCCGCCCCCTCGGCCCAGCCCAGACCCGATTCCCAACCTGCCAAACCCAGTACCGTCCGCCACGGCCCTCACCACCACCCGTTTCACTCTCTGCAGCCGCTTAACCAACAGCCGCGAGCGGGGAACGCGGTGTGCAGCAGCAGCGCCAGGCGATCAAAGAAACGGGGGAAGGCGGAGCGCAGAGCAGCAGCAGCGCCGAGGAGTAGGATAGAGAGAGCTACCAGCTCCACCCAGGTGGTCCCGGGGGGGGTTTCGTAATCCTCCTCGTCAGGCGGAAACCAGTAGAAGACTGAGAGGAATCTGAAGCCCCGCAGGTGCCAGAGGATCAAGACGAGGGCGAAAAAGAGCATGGCGCTTAGGGTTTGAATGTCCACTCTATGGTGGTTCTCCCAGAAGGTTGAGATTGAGTGTGTAGCTGCTGCTGCAGCTGCTGCCGTTGCTGATGATGGTGGTGTACTCGTTATAGAGGGGTCCGGGAGCGACGATAACGCGGCTGCTTCTGCTAGGGATGTCAAGCTGCCTATGTTTTTCGTTATTGTTGGGGATTTGGGGATGGAGCCAATTCGTCGAAATCCTGGTCTCTTGGAACCTGACGCTCCTCCCCCTTTGCTGCCTCCTCTTCTAGCCCCCCAAAACTGAAACCCTAACGTCGTCTCTATAGCATGTATAGCTCGTCCCGGTAGCTTACCGAGTCCCTCTACAAACGCGTACAGCCCCTGGGACGCTGCTGACACGTGGCTGTAATCGTGTGGTGGGATCTTCACTCGCCCTCTCCGCCAATCCTCCTCCGCCTTCTCGTCTTTCTCTTTGGGTTCCTTCGCCCGCCCTTCAGGTAACGGTCGCGAGCTCTGCGCTGGGATTGGCTGCTCGCGTTCTAGGGTTTGCTGCCCTGGCCGACCAATCCCGGAAGAGGACGCTGTAGCGGGGTGATCGTCCCATGCGGGCGGGACCGTGATTGTGATTACTTCCGGGGTGGGCGACGAAACGGGGGGGCCCTAGATTCACCCCGCCTATATTCAATCCGCCTATTCCGGCTCTCGCGCCGCCTATCCCGCCGCCACTTCCGCCGCTTATTCCGCCCGCGAGCTGCGCAGCCTTCGGACGAGACGAACGTGGCGCGCATTGTGCGCCGCGGACGGGATCAGCACCTGGTGGTGATGTGGATGGTCGGCCTGCAGCCACGTGGACGTCCCTCCGCCCACCGCCGCGCCGCCCGACGGGATGTTAAAGACATGCGGGGAGAAACCCGACGCAACTGTCGCGGTTCCGCCGCCTTGGTCCTCGACTGCTGAAGAAGAGCTGGTCGCGGCCGCCGCCGCCGCCGCCGGTGCCAGTGGTGATGCTGATGGTAGTGCTGGCGACGGCCGCAGAGGCAGCAAGGCGCGGGAAAGGCGGGGAGAGGTGCAGGGACGAGGAGGGAGCGGCAAACGCGGCGCTACCTCCGGTGATGCCGCTGCTGGTGCTGGTGGTGCTGCTGCTTCCAGTGCCGCTGCCCCCAGTAACCTCCGCCTGGTAACCCTGTAACGGGTAATCCTGTCCCTGTTCTCCCCGCCAACGGCCCCTGTAACCGGTAGGGCCCGACCCTGGTGTTGCCGAGTACATAGGAGAAATTGGAGGGAACCCTAGCCGCTGTCATGTGACGTGGAGAGAGATGTGAATGAGTCAGATTGAGGGGTGTCTGAGTCGGACAGAGTCGTCGCTGAGTCACACTGAAGGGTGGCTGAGTCAGACTGACACGCGGCTGAGTCAGACTGGGAATTAGGCCGTTCTATAATCAAGATGCGGCCCGGCCCAGTCCGCGACCTCACGCGGCTGCGACCACCGTAGCTGCGACCAACGTAGCTGCGACCAACGCGGCTGCGACCTAGTCAAATTACGAGAAATGTCGAAGACGATAACCTATGAGCCATGATGGCGAAAGTTCACAATTCGTGGTGACGACCTACTGGCAACGGTCCTCTGCTCCTGGTTCCCATTATCTTTCAGGTTGACGCCAACGCCGGAGAACTCGCCAGCTGAACGTCAACGTCTGTAACCTAGATAGACGGGCTTTAGATGGCGCATATGCGGAACGACATACACGGTAGGGCGGCGGGGGCTTTGCAGAAATCAAATGCGCATCATCGGGGAGATATGCTATGGACGTCTTTATTCTCGGAACTAGTAAGGTTAGGCTTTGATGGAGCTTCCATAATTGCCCAGCTTTAGGATTCAAGTAGCATCAACTCAATCCGCTTACTAACTGCATTCAAGGAACACCAGGATATCAATCAAATCGCATTCAACCCTTTTGTGAAACATCATATCGTCTTTGACCCTGTGAAGAATGATAGGTTTCCTTGGCTTCGGGCCTTCAGGCCCTGGGACATCACAATACACTTACTACCCCGTTGCATCCATTGCATACTAAAAAAACATAAAGTTGAAGCTTTTTCCTTGGGGTAAGTGCATGCATGCACGAGTGAGTGCCAGGGTGGTGTGTGTGCCATGTGTGAGCTAAATAGTGTGTATTGCACTTCCTGTGTCTTCGTTCATCTCACCGACATATTCATAAGCCCCCTCACTGTGTTGTTAAGAGTGTACACAAGCATTGATACCATAAATTGATGACTATCAATCACCCTCAACTCAAATGACATCTCGTACATTTACTTCCGCAGGAGCATCAGCTACTCCTACAATATCTTGAAGAACATCAGGAACACTATAGCTAATATTATTCAATGCAATATCAAAATCAGCAGCATATGCTGACTCCACAATCTTGATAGTGTCCTGAGACATGACATGACAGTGAGGGGGAGCATTAAAGGGACAGCAAAAGACCATCAGTGGGCACAAAGGCAAGAGTTACCAAACATGTTTGCTACTACTTCAGATGATCCAAAAGGAAGGGAAAAGCATGTACGCACTGTACCAACTCACTGCTAAGAGATGAACAGCAAAGCTGCATACCTGATCATAACGCCGCACGCAATGCGCTGCTCCGCCCTTGTCTTGTGGAACTTCGAACCCAGCTTGAAGATCTTCATTGCGTTTTCCGTCGACCGGATTTCAGCCGCGTCACCACCCGCAGCATATCCTCTTGCAGGGTTTCATATTTGCCAGCAATGTCGTATTTGATTATGTCCAGTCCGCACAGCTGTGTCTGCGCGCAGATTGAAACAAGCGACAGGGGACACATGGAAAGGGAAATCACACCATTATGTAAAGGAAGGATAACAAATTTGAAGAAAAGAAAAAAGAAAGAATGAGAAGAAAAGTGGCGTAACCAACCGAGGAATTATCACAAGAACGTGTACCGTCCCTTAGCCAGCAAAGCCACATCCCAGCTGCAGACTCAATGGTAGAGATTTGATACCAACAAAGCAGCAGCGTTAAAATATTACATGTTGCACTGGACAGTAGCTTCAAGTCTGTTCTTACTTTTCAAAAGCGACTCTGGTCTGACAGTAGGCTTCATGATAGATGATGAAAGCTATAGGTCCCATATGGTCCCATGCGGTCCAGTACAGTCACATGCGGTCACGTACGCTAAGGTCTGCTTTGCTTACCTGTGTGGCAATATGTTTATCCCATTACCGCCCGTTTCTCGGAGAATCTCTGCCACCAAGCGAGCCGAATTTTTGAAGCTCACAGTGCTGTTCACACGCGAACCCGTGACCGCTTCAAGCGGTCATGGCCCAACAACAGCTGCACGGCACGGTAATCACAAGGAGAGAGGCGTCAAGGCGTACGCAGGCGGTCTTTCGACGCGGTCACACACACTGGACATCATGCATTGGTTCAAACACAGATTGGACAGATTGGTTCTTGAAATTTCCCAAAACCAGCTTGTCTCATGCATTGGCTTGAACTAAGAGATTCGGACAAGCATCCGATGCAATATCCAGAATGCGTACCGACGGGGCACCTCCCCCTCCCCTCCTCTCCATCCCCTACACCTCCAGCGCAGCAACCCGTACAGCAGCAACCCACCTCGTTCCACATGCTGACATGGCACCTCATCTCGATTCCCCTCACCACCAGCACCGTAAGCCACCCGATCTAACCAGCGCAGCAACCCGTTCAAGCAAAGCGGCAACCCAGAAACCCACCTCATTCCACATGCTGACGTTGCGACTCTCCCCGCCATTAGCCAGCTTATCCCCGTGCGCGGACAGCAACCGTGGCAGCAGGTGGTGTACAAACACCACCTTCACCATGTGAGCGAGTTTAAAAAATCATAGACATCACATCAACCCACCTCGTTCCACAGGCTGACGTTGCGGCTCTCCCCGCCGTTAGCCAGCTTGTCCCCGTGCGCGGACAGCAGGCGCGGCAGCGGGTGGCGCACAAACACCACCTTCACCAGGTCGCGCCGCGTCATGTGGAACATCACATCGTCCTCGCCCATCTCGCGCCAATTGAGCATCAGCCCGTTCACGCCTATCCCCCCTTACCAGCAGCGCAGCAACCCACACAAGCAGCACAGCAGCAACCCACCTCGTTCCACATGCTGACGTTGCGGCTCTCCCCGCCATTAGCCAGCTTGTCCCCGTGCGCCGACAGCAGGCGCGGCAGCGGGTGGCGCACAAACGCCACCTTCAACAGGTCGCTGCCCGCGTCATGTGGAACATCACGTCCGTCCTCGCCCATCTCTCGCCCCATGAGCGTGAGCCCGTTCACGCCCAGCGTGGTGCGTGTGGAAGTAGGATGTGATGTGCTTAAAGCCCCGCTCGCTGCGCATCCACATCTTCCAGCTCGTTGACGCCACTTTCTGAATCTGGCAGTACATCACCCCGAGTTTTTCTGCCACGGGGGGGGGGGGGGGGGGGGGCAGGAGACATGGGGGGATGAGGGGAGGCGGGGATGCGGGGAAGTGGGGGTGGGGTGGGGGGGAAGGGGAACGGGGGAGAGGGGAAGGCAGGCGGCTGTGAGGGAGGGGTGGAAGTAGAAGGCGATGTGCTGCAAGCCCCGCCTCGCTGCGCATCCACATCTTCCAGCTCGTTGACGCCACCTTCTGAATCTGACAGAACATCACCCCGAGCTTCTCTGCCAGGGGGGGTGAGGATGGCGGGATAATGGCGGGGAGGGGTAGGGGGATGGGGGTTGAAACGGGAGGGAATGGGAAAGTTCGTGTGTTCTAGCCTTATCCAGCAGCTCTGAATGGAAAGTCATATCCACGTGAAATACATGCTTTTGAACCGCTTTCAAAGGAAGAGCATTGGGATCTGGGGACAAAGATACGTTGGACTGAACGTTCCATGAGAATCACAACTTTTGTGAGATTTCAATACTTGGGAAACAACATGGGAAACCACAGGGACATAAGAAACGTTTCAAAGGTCCCACCGTGCATCTCCCACCGTCCATCTCCCACCGTGCATCTCTTACCGTCCATCTCTTACCGTCCATCTCTCACCGTCCATCTCTCACCGCCCATCTCTCACCGTCCATCTCTCACTGCCCATCTCTCACCGCCCATCTCTCACCGCCCATCTCTCACCGCCCATCTCTCACCGTCCATCTCTCACCGCCCATCTCTCACCGCCCATCTCTCACCGTCCATCTCTCACCGTCCATCTCTCACCGTCCATCTCTCACCGTCCATCTCTCACCGTCCATCTCTCACCGTCCATCTCTCACCGTCCATCTCTCACCGTCCATCTCTCACCGTCCATCTCTCACCGTCCATCTCTCACCGTCCATCTCTCACCGTCCATGATCATCTGCTGTGCAAACCGCAGGGAGGCCAGGGGCGGCAGCATGGGCGAGGGGCAGACAGCAGGCTCCACCGCAGCAGGGGGGAGGCCGAGGGGACCCCTGGCAGCAGCAGCCAAGGCCGTGAGCAGGCGGGCCTCGGGGGAATCGTGGAGGGCAAAGACGAGCGAGGGCGCGTGGGCCAGAGCGAGAAACTCCACGATCTGAGGGGTTGGTGTGGGGCGGGGCGGGATGGGGTGGGGTGAGGTGGGGTGGGGTGTTGAAGGGGTGCATTCGCTCATTGAATTGCGATTGACCTTTGGGTAGATTTCTAATAGAACTCCATCCGTGTCACACCCATCCATCCCACCACAGTTTCACCAGTTGAGAAGGCACATACCTCCAGTTGAGCACACAGCTCCCTTCTTCCTCGTCCTCCAACCACCCACTTCCACCCCCACCAACTCTCCATTCCGCCACTCCTTAAGTCGCTCCTCCCCCATTGCCCCGCCCCTAGCACACCGCTCCACCACCCACTCCTCCTCCCCCACTTCTTCCCCCCTCTTCCCCTCCCAATCCCTCCCCAGATGCCCCCCGCGCCCCCACCCTCTCCCAGACACTCCCCCCGCCCATCCCCCCCACCATGCCCCTGCTCCGCACCCCAACTCCCCCCCTCTTCCGCGTTGCCTGCAGCACCAGCGGTGCCCGTGACTCGTGGAACATGCCGGCCACAGCCTGGGCGGCAGACGGCACTGTAGCAGCCACAGTGAAGTCGCGGTCCGGGCGGCGCAGGGGCGGCGTAGGCGATGCGGCGGGCGGCGCAGGAGGAGAGGGAGTGGGAGAAGGGGAGCGTGTGGCAGTTGGTGCAGGAGGGGGGGACGAGGAGGGAGAGGTTGGCTGGGCAGGCCGGGGCAGGAGTCCAGAGGGGTATCCTGATGGGGGAAGTGGGGAGGAGAGGGAATGGGAGAAGGGGAGGGTGTGGCAGTTGGAGCAGGAGGGGGGGATGAGGAGCGAGAGGTTGGCAGGGCAGCCAGGGCAGGAGTCTAGAGGTGTGTTCTGATGAGGGAAGGGAGGGAGGGGGGGGGGAGATGGGGAGATGGGGGGAGGAGAGAGGGGGGGGGGGGGGGGGGGGGTGGTTGGGAGGGGGATAGGCAGGCAGGAAAGGTGAGGCTGCTGAAGTTGCATAGTGTTTTTGAAAATTCTAAAAAACACTAGGCTGCTTAAAGCCCATGTGGCAGAGTGGTGCATCAGTCTGAGTGACTACAGCGAAGGATACCCACTGAGCTGAATGACTGCAGCGACCGAGTGATAATAGCGAAAGGCTTTCACGGTTGAAGTGGGTGATTCTAAAGGTAAAGGCGAGGAAGGCGGGAGGTACTTCCTTCCTACAGGATACAGAGAGGAATAGAAGGGTTCGAACCACAGCAAGCTCTGGTGCCAATATTAGCAACACTTTTAGCTAAGAGGGAGGTACTTCCTACGGGATACACATCTGCCCACCTCTAGGAACACTGCTGTGGATTGCTGCACACGTGGCAGGTCCTCTGCTGCCAGCTGGCGGAGGATGCGCTGAGTTGGACGCAGCGCCTGCAGGCTGGAAGCCAGCTCAGCAGCGGACCAGCAGAGGTGGGCCTGCGGTGGGAGGAGAGGTGGGGAGCGGAAGAAGTGAGGAACTTTTAGAAATAAAATGTTAACAAGATGGGTTTGCGAGGGGGGGGGAGGGGGAGCAGGGGAGAGGGGACAGGGGGGGTGGGGAAGGTGTTGGGGGGGGGGGGGGGGGGGAGGGGAGCGAGGGGGAGAAGGGGGAGGGAAGGTGAGACATTAGAAAAAATACACTTCAATTTCAAGGACAAGTGTGTGAGGTTGGGTTGGAGGAGTGTTGGAGGGAGCGACAAGGAAGGACACAGCTGCACTCATACTTCCTCTCTCTCCCTGCCCCACACACCACACACCCCTCCCTGCCGCACACACCACACGTCACATACCCCTCCTAGTGATGCCCGCGCATGTTCAGACAGCAGCATTCGCACGAACATGCCGTTGCCGTTCCCATTCCCCTCCTCGCTCCTGTTCCCGCTCCCGCTCCCCTGCCCGCTCCAATTTCTGCTCCCGCTCGCAACACCGCAACCTGCGGCTTGGCGTGCGCTGCTGCTGCACTCGCCGACGCACACCTGTGTTGTTGCGAGGAAGCGGGAAGCGGAGGGGCGCACGCAGTTGGTTCGGGTTGTAAACCCTAAACCCGAAACTTGGGGCACACATATAGGTAGATAGGTTGAAATGAGCTACAAGTGGTGGTGGAAAGGGGTAGGATGGAATGAGTGGCCAGGGGAAGGTAGGGGGGATGCTGTCACACACTGATTACACAACTCACCTCTTTGTATCAAGTGGCACATCACTATTGTGTTTGCAAGGACAAACCACAGTCTCCTCAATTTCTGAGGCGCCTCAAAATCCGCGTGAACTGCGACGACTTTTTCGGCGCCGCAAAAATCATCTTTTGTATCAATCAAGTGGCCCATCACTGCTCTGTTTGCAAGGACAAACCACAGTCTCCTCAATTTCCTGTATGAAGGGGCAGATACCATTTTCCTGCTCAGGAAAAAAGGTAACCCACCCACCTCTCTGTACGAAACCGTGAGTTCCTGCGGCGCCTGTTCCAGCAGGTCGGCCACACATGCTGTTGTCACATCGTCCACAGAAAACCTGGCAAGGTTGGTGCGATTAGGGGCGCAGATGACGACTTTTGAGGCGCCTCAAAAGTTGTGTTCCAGCAGGTCGGCCACACATGCTGTTGTCACATCGTCCACAGAGAATCTAGCAAGGGTGAGAACAGGGCCGCAGCAAACATACAACAAGAGCGCAGCAGCAGCGGTAACGGCGGCGGTAGCAGCGGCGGCAGCAGCAGCAGCAGCAGCAGCAGGGAGGATTTAGGACCACCAGAATCAGCAAGCATGAAAAGATGAGGGATCTGGCCTTTTGAGCACTAACCATGGAGCATGTGCGTATGCATGTGCGTGTACTGTGCGTGTACTGTGCGTGTGTGTCCATGTGCATGTGCATGTGCATGTGCATGTGCTTATGCATGTGCTTATGCATGTGCGTGTGCATGTGAATGCCTGTGCATCTGCATGTGCATGCCTGTGCATGTGCATGTGCATGCCTGTGCATCTGCATGTGCATGTGCATGCCTGTGCATGTGCATGTGCATGTGCATGTGCATGCATGTGCATGTGCATGTGTACAGGGTACCTTTGGTCATAATGCAGAGCGAAGAGCGAAGAGAAGGAGGAGGCAGCGTGCACGTGGCGGGCGTCTAGCATGAAGCTGGCGTCAAGCACCCACAGCGCCTTCACAGACAGCCCTGCCGCCAAGGCTGTGCCTCGCACCCCCGCCAGCGACACCAGGCGCGCTGCTGTGCTGCCCTGGTGGTGGGAATGGGGGCAGGGTGGAACACAACCGCGGGTTGGGGAACAGGAGTGCGGGAGGAATGGGGGTTGAGAGCGCGAGAGTGGGAGATGTGAGGTAAGGTCAATCAATGACACCAGAAGGTATGATGGCGTGAGCAAGCAATACGAACATGCGGAGCGGAGAGGAGGTGAGGACGTTTGAGGCGCGTCAAAAGATACCAGAGGGTATCATGGCGTGAGCCAGATGAACATGCGGAGCGATGCGATGCGACGATGGACAGAAGGCATGCCGATCCATCAAGCTTTGCCTGCGAGAAGATATACGCGAGGAGACAACAACGAGAGTCGTTGGGCGCGAGCGAGCGCACCTCTGTTATAATCACAACGTCGTATTGGAATAGCCCAGAAAGCACCGCCGCGCATGACTCCTCGGAGGAAGATCCCAATCGGAACCACCGATCGTGGTGGTACTGCGAGCTCCCAATCGGAACTGGCCTGCGAAGCCCCGCGAAACCGCCGAGTAACGCGACGAGACCCGTCGCGAGCAGAGCAAGCAGAGCAAGCAGCAGGCGTTTGTCGCAGAGGAAACGGCCAGAGGCCAGCAGCGGAAGCAGCAGCGCGGCAGAGGCGCGGCGCGGGGGCGTGAGGCTTCGGCGACGGAAGAGGGAGTGGCGGCGGGAGCCGTGGGCTGAAGCTTGGGAATGGGAATGGTTGCTCGTCGTCGCAGCCGCCGCCGCGCCAGACGCTTGGGGTGCGGCTCCATGATAGAGCAGCAATGAGTCGAATGATACTGGAGATGATGATAACGATGATGGTGCTGATGATGAAGCAGCGATGCCAGGTGGTGACTTGTTGAGAGCAACAGGTGTTGGTGATGCCCTGAGGGATGGAGGAGAGCCCGCGACCTGACACAGAGTAGTAGCAGAGAAGTGTGAGGGAGGGACAGGTTAGTAGCAGGAAAGTGGGACAGATCAAGTAGCAGAAAAGTGTGAGGGACAGACAGTGGCCACTTTATAACGTAAGGGGTGGGGGTTTGGGGTTGGGGGGGAAAGTGGGGAATGATGCGTGAAGTGTTCTGGGGCCTCATAGATTATCTTTTTTATCTCTCAAAACCGAATGTTATGCTCATGCAGCCAACATCACACGCACGTTTTGTGATGTGCCATCAGGAGGGCACTATGGATGCTCATATTGAGATTAATCCACGACCTCGTCGTCTGGCCCGTCGATTGAACCGACTCCGAGTCGCTGTCTGACTGTCAGGTGCCTTTTTGAGTCTGACTCAAAAATCGACTAAGAGTTGACTCAAGATACTGAACCGGCTTGATGTCTTTCCGTCAGAAGCCTTTTAAGGAGAACGTCAGTCTAAACTAGACAGCACACAATCTGGCTGAAAAAACGGAAGCTGCTGTGACTGATTCGCGCGGAAAGCGATTAGTGTTTTAACACGCGATTGAAAATGGCGGCGTTGAGAGGACTGGAGGCGAACAATACATGATGCTCGTCACGAATCATGCTTGATCATTATTCATTAGCCGCTACTACCACGCTTCCTCACGATTTCCGATTCATCATGAGCAGCAACTACACGTCGTCACGGAAGGGAAACTAGCACTAGGACGGTGCTCCTCTTACAATGAGGGGACGGAGAGTCGCGTCGCGCCATGGCAGCGGAAGACCTCGTACCGCACCGATCTTCAGGTGATTCGCTAGCTTTGTTCGTTGCGGCGGGTGAGACCAGGGGCGTCACCGACCAACGCCTTGGTACTACAGGACAAACAGCAGTACAGTGACCACTACAGTAAACTACTTCTAGTACAGTACACTAATCCGTCGTACTACTAATTACCCTGCCCGTGGTTCTGCAGAAGCATCTTCTCTGGTTCCGCTGCCCGTGGTTCTGCACGCGGGTTCGGATCATTGCACACAGGGGATGCAGTACAACGCATTACAGCGTCAGGGGGTACCGTCACTAGTACTTTACCGGTACAGGTATACCTTTACTCGAGGAATCTTCAGGAGAATCTATGATTGGTGCCGCGCCGCAGCTAGGGTATTCCTTTCCCTCTCTGCTGCTGGTGCCAACTGTGCTGTGCCGCAAACAAAGCTCCACCTTGCAACCGCGAGCCTCGTAAATGTGAATTGCTGCAGGGTGGCGTGACTGTATCGAGCTCATGGTAAGTACGTGTACAAGGTGCAGGTGCACTCTGCTCTGCTCCGCCAGAGATCCAGGGAGCAGTGCTGCTTTGGTCGGTCGGTTCCTCACCAGGTAGCCCTTCCCGCAGCACCGCCCTCCCTTTCTTACTGCATCTATCTCTCCTGTCTCCCTCCCTCTACCCCAACCGTCCATATTCCTCCCTCGGTACATCCGAGATTCCGCGTGTTCGAGCGAGCCGGTACCCCCAACGCCGCACAGCGGGACACGCGCGACGCGAACCCCCACTTCGCTGCCTTCCTCCGGAAAGCCCTAGAGAGAAACTGGGCGGCCGCCAAGGGGGGTGCCATACCAGCACTGAACCCAACACCCGAATCTCGTTACTCTGCAAAGTAGAAAAGAAGAAAAGAATACCAACAAAAGGTATGAATTAACATGCTAATATTTAGTGCATGCACATCTCACCGAAATCAGTGAAATCTCTGTGAAATCCACGTCTCCTCGAATTTTTTTGGAGGACAGGGTGTCTCTCATTATTACCCAGCGAACAAGGAACCGGATCCATCAAATCCATGTGGGTTACGAATCATGTGGTTGAGGATTTGAGGATTTTCTTGACATCAATTACCAGCTTAGATGCGGGGCGAGCCATGGACGGCGGCCACTACCGTGGAAGATCGCTTGTGGTCGGAATGTAGGGTCGGAAAAGGCCGACGTGGAACGATGGGCTGATGTACCAGTTGGAAGGCATTATGAGGTGAGCAATGACATGTGTTATCATGTGGCTGATCTTGAATAGGCCGCAGTAGTAAGGTCGAAGTTTTGGCCAAACAGGCGGTTCTGAGTGTTGAGCAGTACGAAGTCTCTTGACTGGTACGTGTCGGCGTTGCGTTTAGCGATAATAGTTGCCTTCTTATATTGCTTCTTCTGCACGGGTTCGTGCCTCTTGCAATATCCCAGCGAACTGTTCGGCCTGATGGGCACTGTAAGGTTTTCCCCATAATTGAGGTAAAGTGGTGATTGTTTCGTCGTTCTTGAGGCGAAGCACCCCACAACAGAGAATCTCGTTGCCGAATTAGTTACCAGATTTTCCATCATCGTCGGCACCCGCGATCGCCTTTGAGGACTTCAAGCAGACACTTGTCAGCTGCCCTAGCGGGGTTGTGGCAGGACCATCGTGCACAACATTTGAAACCCTAGAAAATGTGGCCCTTACGAACCCGGATATCAACGAACAACTGCACTGGGTTACAAATTTGTTGATACGTGGGGTGCTGTGTTAGAATCCTTAGCTAGGTGAGGAATGATCATTAGGTAAGGGAGAGGGGGTACAAGAGTGTCGAGAGAGTTGGGTTATACCCTCTAAGGTGTGACCCTACACAACCTAGAGTAAGAACAGAACAATATGTTTTGACACACCCCCATAGGTGAAGTAGGGGATAGCCAAACCTAACAGTGGTCACAAGACCAGTCAAGCAAGAGAACAAGCAAGGCAAAGCCCAGGGTGGATCTCAAGGACACCACACAATCTGAGCACAAGCAGGCGGCCACAAGGCCAGTTCACATGCAGATTTATAATAGCAAGGCAGTACACCGATCACAACCTAGCAAGAGTAAACATGCAGGTATAAAGATATATATAGCAGTGTACAACAAGAGCAAGTCAAGCAACCAGCAGGTGAGGCAGAGTGGGCACAAGCCCAAGAGCAGTGCAGAAACGCTGATGATCACCAGCCCCAAGTGCCTTGGTGAAGACATCAGCAGTGTTGGCCCGAGAGGCCACGTAAGCAAGGCGCAGCTGACCACGCTGCTGCAGCTCACGCGCAAGGAAGTAGCGCAGAGCAATGTGCTTCGTTCTGTGCTCCAGTCTCTGCTTCGCGACACAAGGCAAGCATTGCCTTGTTGTCGACGTACAGAACTGGAGGAGAACGAGGCCGCTCCCCCAAGTCGGTCAGCAGGTAGGTCAGCCAGCGGAGCTCCTGTGCAGCCATGGCCCCAGCGTAGATCTCGGCCTCACAACTGGAACCAAGCACAGAAGAAGAACGAGTGGACCTCCACGAGACAGAACCAGCGCCAAGACTGAAGGTGTAGCCCTGTGACGAACGCTGAGTCGCCTGGTCGTCGGCCCAAGAGGCGTCAGAGTGTCCTGTGAGGACCACCGAACCCCGTCCTCCAAGCACGAGCCCCATGCCCGATGTGCTGCACAAGTAACGCAGTACCCTCTTCGCAGCATCAAAGTGCACCTTTCGGTGCCTGCCGGGTGCCACGTAGCGAGCCAGAAGGCTGAGAGGGTACGCGAGGTCAGGTCGTGTGCACGTCATCAGGTACATGAGGCAGCCCACAAGCTCTGGGTACGGACCACTCGGCTCTACGGACTCGTCCGAAGGTGGAGCTGAGAGCGAGTGGCCGGTAGCCAGAGGAGTGGGCTGTGGCGAGGAGTACGTGAAGCGGAAGCGCTGTAGGACCTGGTGCACCATGTGTGACTGAGTCAGGGTGATGGTGCGCCGTGGTCTCTCCCGGGTGATCTGCAAGCCAAGATAGCTCCGCAGCTCGCCCAGGTCAGTGCAGGTGTGTCTCTCCTGCAGCTCCGCCTTCACTAGGGCCAGTGCCTCAGTGTCAGCAGTAGCAAAAACCAAGTCGTCGACGTACACGAGGATGTAGAACGGCGGCAGAGTAGTGTCGGTGCGTAGAAACAGCGACGGGTCAGCAGTCGAAGGAGCAAACCCAAGAGCCGCAAGTGTCGTCCTCAGTGTGTCGTGCCACTCGCGGGGCGCCTGACGCAAGCCGTACACTGGTCGCCGTAGGCTCCACTGGGTACCCTCAGGAAACGACCCAGTGAAGCCCTGTGGACGGCGCAACC